TTTTTTTTTTTTTTTTTTGTTTTTTTGAGGGAGGGCTGATATTTTATTATATTGAGTAATGTCCTTAATTTGAAATTTTTTATAGCTACCTTGCCTCACTGATGATTTACTGGAATGCACCATACAACCGGCTTCTCAGGCTTGCTTTCATTTTTGCTTTGGTTCCATGGTTGTATAGTACGTTCAATGAAAGGCGACGTATGCAGTCGTATTCTGTAGAAAGAGCCTTAATGTTATCTTGGGATAAAATTGTTACGCAGCCTTCAATCTTCTTCAGAAGAGCTGTTGTGGGGTAAACTTTTATACTTGATCAAATAAACACAGGTCAGGTTGCACTAGCAACTGCAGAAGCATATTGGAGATATTGTTTATGAAGATGCATTTTTTATACTAGGGAATTCAGTGTGATTGCCGGCAGTTTCGCTAATTCCTTTTGTCGATATTTTTTTCAGAATCAACTGTAACGTTGACTTAATTGTTTCTGGCACAGCTCTTCTTGAGCGCATGAATTCTACAACAAATAGAAGAGAAGATCACGAGGTGGTTGTTTTTTATAACTAGAAATTTCAAAGCCACTTTGTAGTTTAAACATCACGAAATTTTTATTTTAAGGTACTGAATAACATTAACGACTTGTATGAAGCTTTCACTTATTTCTTCTCAAGAGGTGCACCATCTGAAAGGTTTTTACTTTTGATTTTGCCTGTCTAATTCAATGGTGAGGGCTTTTGAGAAAGTCGATCAACTGCTTGTTTTAAGGGGTTTGGTTGTTACTCTGTCATGCGAGATTTTCCAGGCATATGTCGGATGAAGAAACATTTCAAAATTTAATTTATACGGCTGGCGAACTTCTGCATCGTTCTCACTATTATATCGGAGGGAATGCTGCGTTGATGTCTGAAAAGATCGCTTCATCGTTTCCAAGGACGACGGTAATCTGCTTTGAAGAGTTAATTCTTGCTTCTCTGGTATAAGAAAGATACTTACTTCTTTTTGAAATGCAGTAAAGAACGTGTCTGTGTCTTTATCCTTGTCGTGAAGTTTATGTAGTTCATTTCCTGGAAAATGATTGAGTAGTTCTTTTGAAATTATATTTTTGGCTCTCCCGAGTACTTGGGAAGTCGTTTTAGCCCCTAAACTTTTTGAACCAGTTGCAGACTTACTTAGTCGGGCCAATCGGTCCTCGTCTTCAAGCTTTACTGCATCCCTCAATCGTGCGGACTAATTCAACACGTATTGTGAAGGACGAACTGCACATTATCATGGAGTATAAGCAAGGAGAAATTTTGGGAGAATATGTTGCTCCAGCTTCATCACGTTTTATTACTTCACATGACCGTTACAGGTGACAAAAATAAAGAAGGCTTTTTCGTATAAGGTTTATTTGCTTATTTTTTTAATTTATTTTATATGTTTTAGTGGCAGTTCTGTCGTAATTGAAATGTTTTTTAAAGCGATATCGCAGTTCAACCCTGACCTTATAATTCTTACTGGCGTTCATTTGCTAAAACACCAGGTAAGGTATTCTTTGCAATTTTCAGGTCTGTGTTTTATTTTTTGTTGTTAGGCTTTACTTATTGTTTTGTTTTTTTTAGCTTTTTAAACTTATTTTCTTTTAGAATCGGGAGATGCGGATGGAGAAATTGCGGTTAATAAGGAGAAATTTAATGCAGATTGATCCTAGAATACCAGTTCACCTTGAGATGGGAAGTATTGGCGATAGCGATTATGTCCAAGAGGTTCTTAATCGTGTAAGTTTTTGGTACCTCCTTG